ATACCGATATTAAATCCCGGGATTCCGAAAATGTCGAAAAATTTTAATGCCCAATCTAAAATGATTCGAGTTAGTCTTTCAAATATCATATTTTATTTATACTAACAGCGCTTTCAGATGGAGCGGAGCGTCCGCGCGTACCGTCCGCGTGTTCCACTAGTTCAAATGAACAATTTTACATGGGTCGCGCGTATGCTCCGTCCGGATGAGATCGTCGACGGCTATCTTATCTTGATAAAATATCCGTGCGGACGCTCCGCGCGCACGGTCGCGCTGAGTCCTGAAAGCGCTGTTACAGCGTTTTCAGAAAGAGCGGAGCGTCCACGCGTACCGCCCGCGAGTTCCATTACAGCGCTTTCAGATGGAGCGGAGGGTCCGCGCGGACCGTCCGCCAGTTCCATGAATTTAAATGAACATAATTTCACATGGGTCGCATATGCTCCGTCCGGATGAGCTATCTTGAAAAAACATCCGCGCGGACGGTCCGCTCCATCTGAAAGCGCTGTAAGCCGAACGTCAACATCTAAGTGTTATATTTCCGTGTTTGCTATATTTTTTTTTGCAACAAGAATTTTATTTTTTTTATTAACTACATATGGAATATTACTTTGTTTATTCTATTTTAATAAAGCTCTTTCCTCATTTTCTTTTTGATATATTATGTAGCTGCATTTTTATTAAATATTTCTTTAGATTAAATTTCTCATTCTGATCCCCGCGATTCCGAGATTATAGGTTCTTATTCCGGGATTTTAAATAATTGGAAACCCTACTTACACTGAGTGAAAGTTTTTTTTATCTCGTTAGTTGTTTTGGCTAAATATTTGTGAACAATGAGTTAGAAATACCGTTTGATCGAAAAAAAAAACGGCGAAATGACTCACAAATCTACTTCCAAAAACATATTTTTTTCTCTAATTTTAAATTACATTATTAAAAAATAATTTTTACTAATATAAAAATAAATTACAACCTTCTTAAAGTCAATTGGCAGTACGCGTCATGAAAAAAAGAATAGTACGGGCCAAGTAAATGGAGATCTAGGGCTTGACCTCGCTCATAATAATAATTATTGATTGTCATTCCCCAGCCGTCCTTGACACCGTGTTTTTTTCGATAGTATGGTACGTTACGATTTTTTTCGGTAAATATGTGATAATATAGCGGCTTGAACGAAAACAATGATTCCAAATAGCAATATGTAGCATCCACAAACACTAATTCTGAATCAGCGTAATTACACGGAAATTACTAAAAATGTTATATTAAAAGGTTAATGATAATTGCTCACATTAGACAATAGTTGTGGAGTCCTTTTTACAGGAAGTTGAAATTTGTATATTTGTGGTATCTATATTACACACTTTTATGGTGCAAGGTATTTGTGGTAGCACAAATACACATTCTAAAATTATAATATTTGTGGAACAGGTTTCCACAATTAATAAATGTTAATAACTTTCTTACGGTGGAGTGTATAGACATATAAATTATATTTTTAGGTCGTGGACAGCGAGTTCGTATCATTTCGTACAAAAATAGAGATGATACCAAAAATGTCTTTACTGCACGGTTGTCACAAATATGGTCATGCGTGTATTAGTGTTTTTATATAAGTTTTTTTTTCACTTATATGTATAGTCTGTCCAGCAACAGGACTCCTAACAGTGACAGTTGTGTCTGACATTTTAATTCACAGTCAAATTTTATTCTTTGCCATTTTCGTCTGTCGAAATCTTTCTTGATTCGTAACACAGGTTATATTTTAGAGTCACCTCTATTTTAGTCCAGTTTTTATGCGAGTTAACTGTTTGGATAATTGCTTAAAATGTATGGAGTTATTTCCTGCATTTAAAAAAAAGATTGATGTGCAAATCCAAAAATAAATAGAATACGGGGCTATTTCTTTAACATTTGGGTCACCATTTAAATAGCACTCGTCATACAGGGTAAGTCTTAATAAGAGCAAATATATTTAGGGGTCGTATATTTCATTCTCAGAAAGAGGATTATGAGGAAGTAAAACCTCTGACGAGGGGTAGGGGACAAAAACCTCACAATCTTTTAAGATATTTATTTAAATTTAATTTGCTTAAAAAAAGAATAGGGCGACATGTTTCGGGCCTTAATAATTCCCATATTCAGGTCCAGAAAGCTAAAATATTTACAATAAGAATAATAAACAAATTCTAATAAGTAGTATCTAAAGTCATATAGAGGTCAAAATATAAAATAAAATCACAAACAAATTAAAAGGTTAAACATTTTTTAAAAAAAGGTTAAAAAGTTATTTCTATCACAATAATTATTCAATCACAGACAACATTATGGCAAAGTTAGAAAATTAAGGCTTAGTTTGAAAATTAAAACAACTAAATTACAATCATAAAGGGCAATAACACTAAATTAAAGTTCAACAAAGAACGAAAAAACTTCAAGAACTTTCCAGGTGAGGGGAGCCATGTAATCCATTGTAATTAGTTTAAATGACAAAAAAGAACACAATAAGAAAAAAAATATATATATATATATATATATATATATATATATATATATATATATATATATATATATATATATATATATATATATATATATATATATATATATATATATATATATATATATATATATATATATATATATATATATATATATATATATATATATATATATATATATATATATATATATATATATATATATATATATATATATATATATATATATATATATATATATATATATATATATATATATAAATGTCCAATGCATGCAATTCCAAGAAATTTACTTAAACATTAGTCAAATGTATTTTGTAGGATAAATTTTCTATATTTAGTTATCTTAGTTAGAGTAAGTTAAGAATTATAATTATTTTAATTTGTATATATACAGGGTTGTTCACCACATACGACACGGAGTATTGTAGCTAAACGATGAGACTTTTACAAATTGTAAGTTTTGGGTTCGATGAAGGACTATTAGAGGTACAATTTAAAAATAATTTTACAAGATACAGAGTGTCCCAAATAAGTAAAAAATATCAAAGTTGTATTTTTTTAAATGGAACACCCTGTATATTATTTCATTTTTAGTTTCTACGATTAAAATAAAAGTAAATTTGATTAAGGTTTATTATACTTAGACCTTACCGTTTTTGAAATATTTTCAATTTTGTGAAATTGCAGTAAAAATTTTAAGTCTTCATTTCTCCAAGGGTATCAAAGTTTTTAATACTAAATATTTACTGAAGTTTATTTATTGATCAGTTATTTTGTTGCAATAATAAAAATAATACTACCTTATACAGAGTGCCTAAAAATTTATTTTAAATAATTATTATTAGCTTCAAACGGCAATAACTTGTTTAATTTAAACGGAACACCTTGTATATTTTAAGAGAATCAGATGCACAATTTAATTGTCTATCAAATTATATTATACCATTTTTAATGTAAATATTATACCATTAAAAAATGGTATAATATAATTTGATAGACAATTAAATTGTGCATCTGATTCTCGTAAAATATACAAGGTGTTCCATTTAAATTAAAGAAGTTATTGGCGTTTAAAGCTAGAAATTATTTAAAATAAATTTTTAGACACTCTGTATAAGGTAGTATTATTTTCATTATTGCAACACTTCAGTAAATATTTAGTATTAAAAACTTTGATACCCTTGGAGAAATGAAGCCTTAAAATTTTTACTGCAATTTCCCAAAATTGAAAATATTTCAAAAACGGTAAGGTTTAAGTATAATAAACCTTAATCAAATTTACCTTTATTTTAATCGTAGAAACTAAAAATGTAATAATATACAGGGTGTTCCATTTAAAAAAAATATAACTTTGATATTTTTTACTTATTTGGGACACTCTGTATCTTGTCAAATTATTTTTAAATTGTACCTCTAATAGTCCTTCATCGAACCCAAAACTTGAAATTTGTAAAAATATAATCGTTTAGCTACAATACTCCGTGTCGTATGTGGTGAATAACCCTGTAGAAATTTAATTTTTATTACAATTTAATTATAATTATGTTATTTAAAATAAGAGGATACTCACAAAAACGTTATTTAAACAAACGTTAAGTAAATTTCTTTGAATTGTGCATTGGAATATGACATAAATATTTTCTTATTGTGTTCTTTTTCTGTCATTTAAACTAATTACAATGGATTATATGGCTCCCCTCACCTGGAAAGTTCTTGAAGTTTTTTCGTTTTTTGTTGAACTTAATTTTAGTATTATTTCCCTTTATGATTGTTATGTAGTTGTTTTAATGTTCAAACTAAGCTTGTCATAATGTTGTCTGTGATTGAATAATTGTGATTGAGAAATAACTTTTTAACCTTTTTTTTTTAAATGTTTAACCTTTTAATTTGTTTGTGATTGTATTTTATATTTTGACCTTTATATGACTATATTAGAATTTGTTTATTATTCTCATTGTAAATATTTTAGCTTTCTGGGCCTGAAGATGGGAATTATTAAGTCCCGAAACATGTCGCCGCCTTTTTTTTTGAAGCAAATTAAATTTAAATAAACATCTTAAAATATTGTGAGTTTTTTGTCCCCTACCCCTCGTCAGAGGTTTTACTTTGATATGTACTCACACTGAGTTGAAGAACGTTTAACGATTATGAGGTTTTATCGCGAAAAAAAAATTGAAAATTTGGAATGTTTTTTGAAATTTTTTTATTTTTAATTAAAAAACCTAATTTCTTAATAATATGACAACAAAGGTAAAAGATTAAATATAGAAGAAACAAACCCCAGAAAAGTACCAGTGGTTCTCAAAATTTAAGCAATTTTTTTTGGAATTTTTCAAAGTAAAATTATTCAGTTATTTTGGACTTAAAAAACGGTAAAGAGAAAGTATGTTTCTTTTATCGAGATCTACCAGTCCTGAAAATATTTGCACCTATTTAAGACTCGTCCTGTACAACGGATTTACAACATCACATAGAAAAAAAAATGACCATACTCACTTGTTTTGGATCTCGGTTCCCTAGGTCCATCTACAGTCACTTTAATGGCTTTGTTGTATGTTGTAACTTGTGGAGGCGTCGTCGAAACCATTATTGTTAAAGTAAAACTCTTTCCTGAAAAGAAAAAATGCTTTGATATTAAGTTGTTTAAAAAAGATCAGTTAGTCTATTTCATGCATTTCATGGTGTTTCTCGCTTATGAGTTGAAACAGTTGTGGTTTTCGCATAGTTGCCTACTTTTTGATGAGGTAAAAGATGTAGTAGTAGTAGTAGCTACTAGAGTACCAGTGGTACCACTCAGATGATTTTTTTGTTATTTAGAAATGGCAGTACCACCTATGATTTAATGTAAACAGGAAGTGGTTATATGCCTATTAAACTAGGGGAGTACCATCCCAATCAAATATAAATAAAAAACAGTGGCTGAAAATTTTGTCTCTGGAATTAAGTTTTTCTTATTGTACGATGTAATTTAGTCATTTTACCAAAATTTTCTAATTTTGTTTATGCTATATATTAGTTACTACAGGTTACTACAGGTTACTGAGAGTTGTAAGAGTAGGCAATTTTATCTATGGAAATTAATAAAAGATTATTCGAAGTTCTACGGTTCGAGAATATTTAGAATCTTAATTTGTCATCCCCCAATTGTTTTGTCTAAATCCCTACGTTTTAAGGTATTTTACGTACCCCCCTTTAAAGGATGATTAATGGAACAGTCGTCAAAAATCCATCTGTGATAGATTAGGGGGGTTGTGTAGTTTAGTTTTAGGATTATTAGAAATGGTTCGATCATTCGTTATGAACGTGAAGCACTAGATAGACGAAGGGGACAGTAAAGTGTCATGGAGGAATACTTAATAAAATCGACTAAATTATAAGAAAATTAAATAGTGTATTTAATTAAAAGCATATAGAATACTTACATATACAGAGTGAGTTTTAAATAAATGCAAATATTTTTAGGGATAGCATATTTCGACGCCAGAAACATGAGTATGAAGTTTTAACATTGAAAATGTTTCTGTTATCCTATATAAGGGAGCCCAAATCGAATTAAAATGCTACATTTGCCACACCATGACATCATCACGCGTATACGTATAGGAAATCTCGGCGCGGCGGCGGCAGTCGGACATCGCTAATTGTTTATTGACATATCTTTATTTGTTTAAAAGCAAAAAATATGGGGTTTGCTTTGTTACCTTGTCTTGACAATAAGCAAATTGTCAAATTGTTTCGCTTATGTCTTGACATAAGCGAAACTTATAAATTGTTTCTTTTTTTCATTTAGACCTTCCTTTTTTGTTAAATGAAAGTTATATTTAAAAAAATCAATTTTTAAACCAAATTTTCGCATGATTGAAATGAGTTATTCATGCTTAAAGTTTTTTCGGTCATAAGTGCTAATGGAAATGTTTTTTTTGTAATTATAAATAATTATAAAACATGACTCCCTACGAAGACTTTATTTTGTACTGGATCAAAAAATAAGTATTTGTTTTCTCTATACGTTGGTATTAATATATCGATTTTTGATGATGCCCTTTTTCCCGGTCTAATTTTGTACTACTTTTGGAATAAGGGTCCCCATATCATGTACTTGTACTTCCTTCGCTGAAAAATTCAGCTTGTGACACCGAAGTGGGGTACATATATAAAAGCTCAAAGGGTTTTTTTGTTACATCCATCCCGCCGAAATCGCCTCACCAATCTATCCACAAATCCTCAATTCTTTTTTTAAATGAAAGGTATATATGTCTAGATTTGTTATGAAGTATTATTATATCGTTTAATCGGTATTTCTTTATGTAAAACGAATAAATATTAAAACATACCTGAAAAACACCTACACAAAATACCTCTAGAAATCAATTATTTGTCTTTGTCAGTGGTGTGTCAGTTAGATTATAGGGATTATATATCAAGTTTTTAGATATTTTAGGGGTCAGTTCATACAACCAGCTTTAGATACATCAATATTAGCACAAAGGTTCGTTTAAAGAACATTAGTGATTAGTGAATTAGTTATGCAAAGCGATTTTAGAAAATTCATCCTCTTAGAGTGTAAAATTATGTCAAACGATTTGTTGTATGAAAATCATTTACTATCTGGTCTAGAAGAATAAAATTCTACAGAAAGAATAAGAAGGGTAAAGTTAGTAAAAAATTATATAAACCTTCATGACCTCTGGATTATACACATAAAAATTTGCACAAAGGATCATTTAAAAGTCATGAGTTAATTATTTGGACATAGGAATTTATGAAATTCATACCCTTAGGGAGTAGAATAGGGAATGAAAGTTTGCTGTACGAAAATGCATTACTATAACATCTAGAAGTATAACATATTATACAAGGGTTTATTTATAATGACATCAATAATATGAACGAAATATTTCTTCTTCAAATCATCCTTCTAGGAATAAAAAATAACATACAAAGAGAGTATGAGTGCTCTGGAAAAATAAAATAAAATCAGGGCAGTATATCAAGAAAAGCAACAATTAAAAACTTTATATGTCAAAGCTATTTATTTTAGTAATACAGTTTATATGGGACCATAGGTAGAGTTCTATCCATAGAGGGTAAATGTCATTTCACTATTTATTATTTTCGAGAGATCTTTTTTGAGATTTTGCAAAATCTCGACTTTGGTTAGGTTAGGTTAGGTCGAGTTCTAAACTACTTTTCTTTACTCCTTTTTCAGTGAATGTTTAAATCTGTTGTTTTTTGTTAAGTTCGTTATTTAAACATATGTATGTAATACACTCATATTAACACTAATCATATTTTTACGTCTTTATTCATCATTTTCAATGCCCCCCGGTTGCATTTTTGTAAAGGACTGTGAATTTTTTTCTTCGATAAAACAATTTTTTGACAATTTCGATTTTTTTTGAAAAAATGTTTGAATTTTTTTTTAGTTTTTAGTTATAATAATAATAGCTCCCGTATATAGCGTTCAACGCATTGGGAGTAGCAAGGTACAGCTTTCAGTTTTTAGTTAAAAAACATAATTGTTTGATAATATGGCAACATAAGTAGTAGATTAAATTTAGAAAAAAAAACAGAAAAGATAGAGTGGTTTAAAAAGTTTAAGCAAAAAATATTTTTGTTCAAACGTCATAAAAGTATTAATTTTTGCGACGTGATTGACAATATAAAAAAGTCATTTTAACGCCTAGACATAAAAGTAAAGCAATTTTACGCCTTAAGCATGGCCTAAGCATAAAAGTACGAAAATATATGTGAATGTGAAAACTATGCAGAAATTACGAAATAAAAGCCTAAAAAGATATAAAACTACAAAAAATCCTTCTCATTATTAATACTACAAAGAGCTAAGGAATCGTACAACAAACGCAATAAGGACTGAGAAAAGAATTTATTTAAGAACAAAATTTACTAACTGTACTTACAGAGAAAAATGGGAGGAAGTTATTACTTAATTTAATAAAACAACGTAATAACACACTACCTGTTGGCATAAGTAATCCTGATGAAGTCAATTATTTTTTTGTAAACACTGTTTCTAGTAATGTGAATCCAAGTGAAGAAATTTTAAATATGTATAAGAATCCTTCAATAAAAAAATACATGATAATTTTGAATTCACTTTAACAGATGAGGTCGAGGTTAGTCATATTATAAGGCCAACTTAATCGGGCCTTTCTACTACTGGTTTGGATTTCTTTTTTTGTTTATTATATGTGGTTTGGTTAGACAACCCCTCCTGCACTTGAAAGAATTTATAGTGAGTTGGGTTGGGAAGAATGTACGCCTAACAAAACGGTTATCTTCTACTGACTTTCAAGAGTTAATTCAACGCCAAAGTATACCTGACATCGAAACGGACAAAGAAAATCAAGTCGAAGAAATAATTGTTTATGATTTAGTTATGGAAGACAGTAAGTAACTCACTATACTGTTCTATATTAGGTTATTTCTGTATTAGTTTTTTAACTGCCGCTTCTTTTTTAAGATTTCTATAATTAATAGTACAATGTAATCTTAAATAATATATATTTAGATGTAGATTTTATTTTGTATGTAGATGTAGAATAAATAAAAGATTTTGAAAATTTTATTTTCAAAATCCATGTCGACCGAACTATAACGATTTCTGTTTACACTTTATTTACAATATTTTATTGGTGCAGTTTGGTATGAGCAAACCAGTTTGGGCAAATTAACTAAGAGTTCAACCGGTCCTTTAGAAATAAGTTTTCGAATTCAGCAATATCGTTCTAGTTTGCTTGGAGATCTTTAAAGGCACCAATGACGGATTTCACGTCATTATTTTTATGTAAAACTTTAAGAAATTTTAATGTCTTCTAGTTAAACAATTCCGAAGCTGTGTCACACTTATTTATTGCGTGAAGGATTAATATAATTTAAAGATTAATCAAGTCGAAGAAATAATTCTATAACAACATATATAATTGTATCACAACATAGTTATGTCGACTGTAAGAAAAAGTATCATAGTGTTTGAGATGCGTGTCCTTTTTCTAGTTTTTGGAAAGAAGGCAGTCTTTATACAAGGCTACATAGGCCATCAAAATTACCAAAAGATAAATATCCCCACCCCCTTATTGTCAAGTAATTATTTAATAAAGCCAACGAGTGCTTCTCGCAATATGGACATATCACATCCTCCTCAGCTTTATGTGATACAATTTTTGCTTTTTAATGTGAGATAGTAGCAGGCACTATGGAATCAGTAAATAATATTGCAGCAGATATGCTTTCTTTGCATTCTTGTCGAACTTTCTATGCTCTTGGTGCTTCCACAAGCTTCTCAGAGTAGCCATTAAAAATTACAAGAGAGAAAGAGAATAAGCACTAAGCTCGCACTGCAAAAATGTATTATCTGCATGTTTTACCATAGCAATTCGTTGAAAAAGTGTGGTTAGGTTATAATTATAGTTCTGTTTTCTTTAGGTATAGAGTTGTTCATTATTGTAAGAGGTTTTACTTCTTCGTTTCATTTAAATTTCATAGTTTAAGAATTACTGCCCATTAATGCGCTCCATACTTTTCTCTTTTAACAAGTGACAGTGGATTCTTTCATCTGCAACCACATATACCTGTACTTGTATTTACAT